GGGCCCGGCGCCCTGGGTGTGCACCCGGCCTGGCGCGAGGCCTTCCCGGCCAGCCGCGGAGCCGGAGCCCAGGGCGCTCGCCGCGCCTCGTGACCGCCCGCCCCCTTTCCCTCTTTATTGTAAACGTGAATTCCCACGCAGACTTTGCCCTCGCCTTATCGGTGAGCGTGCTGCAACGCTTGTGAGGGCCTTGTGTGCCGCGGCAGAGTTTTTTACAAGGTGTTTTTACAGGGGTGAGAGAGTTTGATTGCTCAGGTGGCCCGCCTGGGAGAGTTGTACACGCAAAGGCTAACCCGACTAGGGTGCACGGGATGGGGCTAATAAGCACCTCAGAGTTGGTAATGTTCAACTTATTAAAGTGACTTTTGAATGTTTACCGTGCCAGAAAGCTGTGGCTGCAGGAAACTGAGGCAAGGAAGTGAGCTCCCCGGCTTGCTGGGTGTATGAGAGAGGGATGGAGAAGATTCTTTTGTTAATCCGCACTGCCAGCCCGTCGGCTTTTGTTCTGTTTCATCATCCGTCCCTAGTTCATGGTTTCCTATCAATAGCTGCACAGGACCCTGTCAGCTTCTCTCACCCTCGCTACGGACATTTGTGCATTTCTTGTATCTTCACAGTTTTAGATCTCCAGCCACTAACCTAGTGTCTGATAACTTAGTAGGTGCTCAGTAAATATTGGCTAAATGAATGGAGGGCCTCTTGGATTTCAGAAGAAAGGTGGGGTTAGTGCAGCCTGTTCCCACTAGTGGGCTCAACGGTGTATGTGTGGCCCTTGAAATTAAATTCACGGATAAAACCAGAGCTTTTAATATCTCTCACATAAAAGCTCCACCACTGAATATGGGTTTTACTGGAGACACCCATCCCTTTGATGAAGCAATTTAACAAGAAAAGTTTTGTGTCCTTCCCTTCCCCCACCACACACATAGCAGTAGTTCCAGCGAAGAGAGACCAGTTAGGACCTAGTAGACAAGGTAATCATCCCAGGAACCTCTTAAAGAGTACCACATTGCCACATTTATTACTACTATCCCTTTTGGTCACTTCTAGGTTCCTAAACATCCTTTACATGAGCAGAGGAATTGCAGAATGTATAATAATTAGGAAGAGAAAAATTAGAATCAAGCCTGACAGATTTGCTTAGGTGAAAATTTAATCTCCTGCAGAACGTCCCACCTGCCACTTTTTAGAGCTGACTAAAAAGCCCCTGAAGCAGTGAGGAAGGAAACAAGAAGCTTTTATGAATTGAATTGACACCATGATGAAAAATCTGGGGATGTGTCTTTTAAATACCTAAAAATTGTATAATGTAGAAACACATGAAGGTTGCTAGCCAACCAGCAAAAATAACTTGGTGTTAGTGTATGGGAGGTTGGGGTGTAGCATTTTTTTCCTGGCACCTAGTCGTGATGACAGGTGGTGAATTATGGTTGCTACCGTTATTACTCATTGTGCCCCTCATTGGCTAAAGTACGTTTGGGGGAATTATTTGTAGAATTAATCTTCTGGTAGATGGAACTTTTCTGCATCCTTCCCCTTCATGGTGGTTACAGGGATGTATACATGTGTTATCTTTCATGGAACTGTCCACCCCTCCCCCCAGAGAGTAAATCAGTTAATTTTTTTAAAATAAAATTTAAAGTCACAACACACATGCCCCCCAAATGGGGTATTTTATGTGCTTTGTGAGCATCGCTTTGCTCTTGCTGTTTCTTTCCCCCTCCAGATTGGACAGTTGTTCTTGTCCGCCTTCTGATGCTCCAGTACTTCTTGCAACATTATTTCAGCTTCCAGCTCTGGTGGTTTCTGGAACTAGCTGCCACACCTGACCCCCACGTGCCGTGCTAAGAGTGCTCCATGCTGGTGTCAGGACTTCCGTGTGTCAAACGGGAGA